TGATTTTGCCAAAATATTACATTAGTGGGTCATTGGTTCAATGTGTATGCAAAATATTGAGTTGTTCTGTTAACAATTTTGAGCAACAATCTTGAGAACGTTGAGTTCCCAAAGGCTGTTGCCATGTTACATGGATAGAATTATGAACTGTCACACACTCCACATCGACATATATCTGCAAAAATGTATTAAAAAAATGGAAAAGAAACATAGTCGATTCATCACCACTGCTACGCATGACAACAGTAGCTCTTGACAAGGTATTGGGTTAGACATGATTCGAAATTTGTAGCTGACAAATCCTAGTGCCATGCAGAGAAAGAAAGATACAATTGAAGTAATTAATTTTTAGCTAAGAAATATTAAAATGGTATTGAAAAGTGAAAACCAAATAATTAGCATGCAAATTCTTTCCAACTCTACGAAAAGGAAAATATATAGCAAAGAAAATATATAAGGTCAACGGCAGGGCTTCAAAGACATATTAATAATGGACTTCTCTGCAAAATACTTGTAAGTTTGCTCAAGGACTAATCTGCAGATCCATCAAATAAATTATTCAGATTGACAAATCTCAGGCTTACATTTTAAATAATATTGTATCTATGATTATTGGTCAATTGTGCACTGTGCAAGAATATTCCTTATTGTTAAGGTGTGTAAAGCAAAACCCAAAAAGGCTAGAGAACACTGGAAAACAAACTGTTCTTGTCAAACTTTGGGGGATAAAGTTGCTGTCTGCCAGGCTACTGAAGCTTTAATTTGATAGTCAAAGAAGTATGAATATCGTTGTATTGAAAATGATTGTTTTGCAGTTAGATTTGAAGAATAGGATGACGATTATCAAGCATTGGAAGGAGGGTCACGATTCTTGGACATAATGAGAAACATAAAGTTAGGGATAACTAGTCAAATTGGAAAAATACCTCTTTATACCTTTTACATCTTTAGTCACCAAATTAACGCAAAAATATGAGCATACACACGTCTTTGGTACGCTAGCAACTAAGATTTCAGTTGACATTGACGGATCTAGAAATTTTAAATAGTAGGAACAATACTTATTTATATATTTATAATATTAAAAATTTTATATATAACTTTTAAAAATATAAAAATATATCATAATTATTTTTTTTATAAGGTTTTATATCTACGATTATAATTAATAATAAAAATAAATTAGGTTAAATTAGATTATATTATAATTTAGTAGGTTTGAATCTAATTTTTTTAAAAAAATTCTTATC